CTAGAGGTATTATCTCAGCCAGGTTGAGAATGTCCTCAAAAAAAGGCCTAGTCAAAAGTAACAAGAATGAACAGGCAGGTATGATGAGAGGTACGACTGGAAGAACTGAAAGCGTCAGAATCTGACGTGAACTAAAAGTTAGGATAGTTTTAAGCGCAGTGGGTGAAGGTCTATGGTCTTTGCCTACGGAGACGGACGTAATGGCATGTATGTAAACAACTTTTTTTATCAAAAAAGACCTCAAAAGTTTGTGGAATTACATCGATTTGTTAAGTTTTATTGAAATCGGTTACCGGAAAGAGCGTGAAACCAGATTTATTCCCTAGTTTGCTACCCTTACAGGTGCAATATTTTCTTCAAATTGAAATGATATTGTTACTGAAGATATCTCAGTGTTGGTCCTATTTAAATTTGGGGAGACTTCAAAAAAAAGGAGGTTATAATTACTAATACAAAGATCGATCACTTAGAAAAAAAGTCCGTCGATCCGGCCGGATTCGAACCGACGCAATAATTTGCTGTTTATTGTCGTTTTTCTACTAAGTACGTTTCTAGTTCTTTTTTAAAATAAATACTTTTGTAAGCTTGATTTTTTTTACTGTCTTACACAATATCAAATTCAGGTACTGTACTCACAAGGCGGCGGAGTTTCTTAGTATACCAAGAATCAAGTGTTGTTTGACCACCGGTGGTACACTACTTCACTTGTGGTACACGCCGGTTTGTACGTGTTAAAGAAACCATAGTGAAGAAACTTATATGAGTTCTCACAGGTAGCGTTATGGGAAAAAAACTTGTTTACCCAATATAAAGTTCCGCAACGGGCATAGAGAATTTTGTGAGAACTGCTGGCTTGACTAAAGTTCTGTAGTTGCAATAGAGCTCCAGGCGTAAGAGTCCGTCCAGGGAAGTACGTACCACTCCATCTATTTCTACCGCCAAGCGTTAAGAGCATGCTGGTAAAATTACAGGCACATGGGACTTGTCAACTTATGTTGACCCCTGAGAAAAACCAGCAATAATACATTTATCATTACAATATTTAGTTTAAACATCTTAGATCGAGACTACCTGCAAGAGCTAAACGGGTCACTACCACGGATTTTTGTCATCCAACATTTAGTATAAAGTTTTTGTTTCACTATTGTTTTAAACTTCATATAAATGCATTGACTTACAATTATATGGACGTCGGGTCCGCGCTAAAAGGTGTCCGAACTTATAGGGCGTTAAAATCGTATACAGAACGTCATTCACGCTTTAGTCTTCGTTTGTTCGACTGACAGCGAAGCAAGCAAAATTAGACAGTACTGCGATGACATTACAATTTAAATTCAACGTTTTAGCTTTTTCATATTCCTTTACATGTCACTACGTTTAAATAGGTTGACTTGGGACATTTTTTTCGTGGTTTTTGTATTAGACCCGTCTTCCATTTATTTGTAAGTCAATGTATAAATGGCAAATTTTGAATATCAATCGGAATCTTGTCTTGTTAAGTATAGAATCGTATACATTGCCACTTAAATGAATTTGAGACTTTGTGAAGACGATTGTTAGGAACAGCTAATTAGTTTTGCCATATAATGTCTGTCACTACTTTTCATTAAAAAAAAAGCATGTGATTTAAAGCTCTGAGTGGCACTGCCACTGTTATGGTCAAGCGTGTCGCTTAATATTGGGATTATAAATTATAATATTACACAAATCTTATAAATTATAATATTACAAAATATTGGTATTATAAAATCTAGAAGTTAAATTTTTATTTATTCTTTTTTAATAGAAGAGGCGGTGTTACCAGGACCTCTGGTTATTGTCATTGTGTTATGTTTTCATTGCAGAGCATTTCAATTTTTTTATCTTAAACTAAAAAGATTGTCAGCGAAATATTCTCGCCAAAATCGGCGCACGTGACGTGTACAAAGGGCGGAGGTGAACGCTTCCTTTATGTTCTGGCATTGGCCAGAACACAAGGCCGCTGTTGTACTGAGAAATTATCAACACAACCTGAGTTTTGACAGACCTCTTTTGTTTGGTATGACAATGCTTACGAGCGATAATAACATAAGCAAATTTTAACATAAGCAACCATAATGTAAATACGGAATATGGACTTACGCTTTTGAAGCTATTTACTAAAAGGTTATCAGTACTTTGGATGAAAAAATCTTTACTTATAAACTTTACTTACAAATACAAATTTAAAATGTTATAAATAAATAAATAACGCACACAATCATAGGGAAACCCGGACTCGCCGGTGCCATGGACACACACATGCACAACGACAAATTACACTCAAACTCACAAGAAAAATAAAATATAGGCCGTCATATATATCTCCCTGCCTGGGAATCAAACCGGGACCCCTGCGTAGCAGTACAGCGTGGTAACCGTTCGGCCACTGAGGCAGTTAAAATAATTTTGTATCAGCAACACCTATCCTCCCTACAAAAATCTATCTTTTTCTAAACAACTAAATAATGAACTTGCTCATGACAACTACCTAATTTAGCCCTGGAGCAAAGATAGGATCTACGATAGAACAAGCATGGCCAGAATACGCATATTCTGTCATACCTTGAAGCTACTCGGGTTTTATGCTTACACACAAAAAAAAAATGGCATAAAATAAATAGAAAGAAGACAGAAAGAAAATACTTTTATTTGTTTACCACAAGAGACATAAAACAAAGAGAAAACGGAATAAAACAGAATTAAAACAAAACATGATCAAAACATTCAACGTAAAACATAAATAAATAATTACGAAACAAACACAAAAGAAAAATGTACATACAAAAATTTGATAAAATTAAAACAGGAATTATTCACACAATTAATAAAAAGAACACTAGATATAGAGATACTTTGTGTGGTGCCAGTCGCGGCCACAAAAGGGTCACAAACTTAGTATTTGCTGGAAAACGTAATGCGTTCCCAGCACTGATTTTCAGTTAGGTCCCTAAGTGAGGTCACGAAACAACATACGCAAGCATACTTAGGTACTTACTTGAATATAACAATAAAATAATTATATATATATATTAAACATATTAAACTGTAACAGAGGTGTGGGTGTGGGTACTGTGTATGTTTAAATACTTCCAAATAATGTATGTATAAGACTTATACATACTTAGTATGAAAATACATTATAATAATTAATAGATACACACTATAACTAATACACTATACCTACATCAAGCTACTAATATATATTATATGACAAATGTGTATAAAAAGTATAAATAAATAGATGCTGGAAAAAGTTAACAGCATTCCTTTTGATTTTCCAGCAGGAGAGCTTTAAGCTTGCGCTTAAAAGCATTCCTACTAGAAGTGTCAGGAAGAGGAGGGGGTAGATCATTCCAGCACTTGGATGACGCAAACCTGAAACTACCTCTGAAAGCTGCTGTGCGGTGAGCAGGAACGATAGCCCGAACCTTGTACTTAAAACAGGTTTGAGACCAACCAAGTTTGCGATAGAGATATTCGGGTGTCTCGGTTTTCACTACACCGAACAGCTACATAGAGAGGTGTGCTGCCGATGAGCAGTCATGTTTAATAGGTTTGCAGCATTCAAGAACGGAGTGATTTGGGATCTAGGCTAGCAAAAGCGTGTGCGCTTGCGTTTACACTTACACTTTGTATCAACTTCTTAGACCTACTAAAAATACAATAATTATAGACCACATCAGAATAGTTTAACTGCGAGATTATCAGTGATTCACAAAGGTGTACACGCAAATCAACACTAAGGTAATCACGAATACCATACAACAATTTGAGTCGATAAAAACAGCTACCCGTCACATTGAGGATGTGCTCCTCAAAACGAAGCTCATTGTCCATCAGCTCTCCGAGGTTTCTGACCCTATCGACCCGTTCTAGTTCTAAATATAGTATAACTTAAACATATTTAGAATACACACATATGTATATATTATGATAATGTATACATAGGTACCCACTGCAACTATTTATCTAAAAACTTGTCTAATTATAACTTTTTATTAAAAAAAAAAATCGACCTCAAAAGTTCGTGGTATTACATCTCTTTGCCAAGTATTCATCCCTTACTTTGCCACCCTTAGAGGTGGAATATTTCTTTTCAACAAAAAAAAATCATCAAAAAGAGAAAAAGTTAATATGCTTATGAGATAGGAATTTAGAGCATTTATAATTTAAAAAAATAATGAAAGACCAATTTTGGCCAATTAAAATTTGTTTGTTGTCCAAAACTGTATTTGTGTAAGTATAAAAATATTTTAGAATGTTGGATAATATAGTTTTTGTATCGCCCATTAGAGTACAGTACAGACGTACTTGAACAGAGATTTTAAATAAATAGGGCAAATAAATTTTTTAACTTAAAATAAATACCCTACAAAATAACATTAATTTTAAAATATTAGCTTCCTTATATCTCGAGTTATTTTTGTTTTTAGTTTAGTAAATTCTACGTAATAAACATTTTAAATTGTTTGTGTGTGTGTTAGTTTTATGGTTTAATATTGAATACTACTTAAACGAATTTGAAAATCCTTGCTTTATATTTTTATTAATTTTCATTTACGTACCTGAAATTTCTTCTAAATATAAAACAATTATGTACTTTAGTCGGTCATGCTCGGACTAGTTTTCACTACCTAATTTCCGTGGCAATTTTTATTATTTAAATATTCGAGTATATGTCGTGTAATTATTAAATAACATTTCAAGATACAATACTCGAGTATTAAATAATATTGCACGATAAAAAAAATCGAAATTAGGTAGTGAACAACTACTTCGAGAATGACCGTAGTATTATTTAAAGTGAAATTGTAAAAAAGAAAAGAATTGTGGGTTACACCACTTTTGCACTGATAACTTCAATCACTCGAGCTATTTTAAATTACGCCAACGACACCCGTGTTCTAAAAATAGCCTGCCTATGACGTCACAGTGATTATTCAAGAGGAGTTATCTCACCAAAGTGGCGTACGACTACAATGACCGAGGTGGAAGTGGGTGAAGGCGAGGACGTATATCACATACTAATCGCCACTGGACGTGGACCGATGGCCGCAAAGGACGAGCTGTAATTGTTGCTCTTCGCGGGGAATTTAGGTGAATGCTAAGTGAGAGATGACGAGGAGGGAATACGGACTAATGTCTGCAATTCATACCCTTGGTCATTATAATAATAAAGCAACTTATAATAATAAAGCAACATCTGATCATACCTCTATAGTGATATAATAATAACGCACACACTCAACATAGTCCTGCACTAGGAAAAACCCTGTGTCGCGGGTGCCATGGACACACACATAGACAACCACAAATTACACCGAAACTTACGAGAAACATAAATGTAGACCATACAAATATTTCTCCCGGCCCGGGAATCGAACCTGGGACCTCTGCGTGGCAGTCCGACATGGTAACCGTTCGGCCACGGAGGCAGTTCACTTTCGATGGCCCTGAACTCCTTGAGCAAATTGGATTACGTACAAACAAGGTAGCAGTGGAAAAGTCAATGCTGCCCTGAAGGTCGAGCAGTTGGAGTCCCGCCACAATGTGAGTTTTAATCCTTCATGAAGGAGGATTTTTGGCCGAAGGGTGTCATGTTCATGTCAAGACGACTCTACCGCCCCATATTCAAAAAACGCCGAATAAACTAGCTTTCAAGCAATTAGTTTGCAATTTCATATTGGAGTCTCAATCTACATCCCATTACTCTGACATTGTTGTATATAAATATGTATATATTATATATTATGTATTTATATGTATATAGTTAGTCATATAATATTATGTGTTATACTTATATTATGTTTAAACTATATATCATAATTATTTATAAACTTCTTCCTATCTAAATGATTATCACTAGTAACAGGTTTCTTACCACGGTATAACTTCTTTTTATTTTCCCGATATTTCGGAACGGTTGCACGCTCCATGGTCACGGGTTGACTCTTCTTCTTCCTATCTGTTTTAATTATCATGTTATGCACTCCTGCTAATTATTTTGAACCCAGATCTTTTTCTTTTTTGGTTAGAGAAAGCATAATGGCATTATGTCCACCATTTGTGCTGTTTTGTGAGCAATTAAGTTTCAATAAAACATTTATTTATTAAATGTTCCGGCGTATACGAGGACGACTACCGGACACTCACGTTGCGTCACACGTCGCGGTCCATACGTGGAAATACATAAATAGTGTTAATGTTTTATTATATTGTTATATATGTTAGTCTATGAGGTATGTATTTATGGGTGTTTTGTAATCTAAACATAAATAAATAAATTTCCGTTCCTACAGTTAGGACAAATTATAGGTAAAATGTATTTTTAAATAGAGCGTCTCGCTCATTTAACTCCTTAGTAAAATAAATCCCGCCGGACCCATCGTACCACTGCACTGCACTGGTCGTGTGGTGGGTATTTTTTAAGTCCCTACCGTACTACCAAATGGTACACAGTGAGGTAGACTTCTTCAACACCAGTATAAGTAAGTTAAAACGCTTACTTAGTGATATTTTTAACTGACTTCAAGAAAAGGAAGAGGTTCTCATTCGACTGTATTTTTTTGTATGTAATGTTACGCGATAATTCCAGTATTTGTGAACCGATTTCGATGATTCTTTTTTGTTACAAAGAGGTTACTTCAGTATTGGTACTATTTAAATGCGAAGAAAATAATCCACCTCTAAGGATGGTAAACTAGGGGATGAATCGATGAATCCGGTTTGGCTCATTTTCCGGTAACCGATTTCAATAAAACTT